AGTGAAATGATAGGCCTAAATATAGGTATGTTTAGTAGGTGAGATGGAAAAAGCATCCAGAAATCCTGTATTTTAATATTAGATCTGGGACCATGTTACAGACGGATATGGCATGAGAATAGTAATTAGGTTCTTTATATTATTCATTTCATTGTCTGGTATTCATGCTGTGGAGCGACTTATGTTCACATCCAATTAAAAGAAACGTTTAAAGAAATTCCAATAGTGCTTTAGAATAATGAAATTGCCTTTACAAAGCATTGGCTTTTGCTGCTTTGTTTCCTTGTGATCCAGAACAGTAGGTGAAGGGCTGAAAAAACAGATGTTACATCCTTTTTTTTTTTTCACTTGTGCTCTGGAACTGGTCTATTACATTGAGTCTTGCTTGTGTGAACCATTGCTCTCCCCCAGGTAAAATGTAAAGCTGTATATATAAACTTAATAGGTTCAACTGCACCTTGTTTTTCTGATGATCTAGAATCCATTTTCAAAGCATTTTCTTTTCAGGTAGTTGCATACATGTACCTGGCAAACTGCTAAATACTTGTGGAGGTTTGCACAACATGGTTTGAATTACTTAAAATGCCCTCCTTATAGGTTTCTGTTATAACCATTTTAATTATGCTACTGAATTTCTAAATGATCGCTATAAGCGACTAGAGAACAGTTTGTGGAGACACAAGCAAATGTAGATTTTAGCAGGAGAATTGAAATAAATTGAACCTGAAAATATGGACTGAAAAGCTTAGTATATTTGCTGTGACAGCATTGTATTGGGCTCTAGGGCAACCCTTCAGAGGAGGTTTTGGAAGTCAAGTACATAATTTAGAGTAGTTTAGAAAGATACACTACAAAATGTGAGCGGAAAGCCTTCCTGTATTTCAACAGTAAATTCAATGTTGCATGTGTTCGATCAGTGCAAGCAGAATATTTAAAACTGTTACTTAAAACCACTATGTGTGGTCTGTGTGTTTAAGTTACACACAGTTGACCCTACTTCTTTGGTTTGTGCAACAGCAGGAGGAAACAGATGATTTGTTTCAGTTTATGTACATTCCACATACACGCACAGTCTGGGCTAATGCACATGCTACTGCTATTTTTCTGTGTGGTTTTGCTTTCTTTTTTTCTCTTGCCTGCATTACCCTTCTGATTTTTGTGGTCCTTGTTGTTCAATTAGGAGATTTTGAGAGTCATTGAATAGTCTCCCTTTGATCTCGCAATGTCTTTAATTTGGCTGACACCCCCCAGTAACCCAGCTCAGCTCTGACAGGCTCTGTTGGGATAAGCTTTAAAGTGTAATTGAATAACTCTTACGTTCTGAAAACCTTGGGTACATCTCCCTCCACTCTTTCCTTGCTACTGATGAGGACCAATTCTACTTGTCAGCTTTTTTAAGGGATATGGTGTAAAAAAGCAGCAAAGTGAGCACCATAATGACAAGCTGCGGTCATCCTCTAGTAGAAGTAGGTGCAGTAGCAATAACCTGCAATAAAGCAGCATACACTTAGACCTGTCCTAATCTGGGGCCTTGGAGAGATTCCACACATGAGCAGTGTTTTCCATTTCTTGTTGCTTTCAGGTGGATGGATAAGAGTTTGTGTGTTTTTAAGGTGAACAATTTATTTCCACTCAGGTAATCACCAGAGCTCTTACATTACATGAAGGATATTCAACCATGAGTTCTGTTCAGGTTTCTTCCTTCCATCTGTGGGAGGAGAAGGCAGGCATAAAGAAGGGAAGTTGTCTCAGCCTCTAACAGCGTTATGAAGGTTCTCAGAAACCCTGGTAGTGTGGAGTGTCTGATGGCTGGAAATTTCTGGGTAGAGTGTAAAATCCATAGCTGCAGTATAGAGGTTGGCATGCACAGATGAAGACTGATGTAGACTCAGAGTCCACACTGCTGAAGGGAGATTACTATTCTTTCTATAATATCTTCCCAGTTTGGGTTTCTGTGAGGCATTTTATGTGCCCTGTTCCCCAGTGAGACAATCTGTAAGAGTCATTCCATGTAAAAATGATACAGTGTCCTGTGAAAGCAAAATTACATTTGAGAAGAGGGAATCCACATGTGATAGAATAAGGAGGAAAGATATTGACAGAAAAATACAGGTTTATATTTTGTATAAGAACAGCAGATTGTATTTAGGAAATAGGAAATGGAATAAAATTATTTAGGACTGAGCTTCCCAAGAGATGCTCTTCTGCAATTGCATGTATGTGTGTACTACTTTGTAGGAGTATGAATTCTTATGGTGAGATAGTAAGGATGTGATGATAATCCTACCTAAGATTTTACATTTTAAATGTGAAAGATTGTGAATAAGGGTTTTCATATTTATGATGTGGATATTTACTTAACTATACATATCAGAGCAAAACTTAGAAAGGTATGGTAGTCTCTTTTTCTCTTGCTTATGTTATAGCTAAAGATATTTCTGATTAGCAGTATTTTTTTGCCTAGAAGGGTGACTTCCTTTTCAGGCTTCCCTGTGGTTTTCCTCAGGTAAATACCAGCTAATTGAATTTCTGGTGATAAATTTGTAATGCCATTTGAGCTTGGGACTCAAAGGGACCAAGTTGCAGTCCTTCAGAGCTGTGCTGCTTTGTGACTTTCTTCATCTCTGTGTTTTATAACCATCTCAAACTTCAGCTTGAGCTGTGTCAGAAAGCAGAGGTCGTTGTCTGAATCAGGGTGTTCCTAGTTCAAAATAGAAGTGTACTGTTTATATCCTAACATGTTTACCATCTGACAGCTTCCCGTGCTCTCCAAGGAATGATTTAAAGATGTTGCTTTAATTCCTATTGCACAGTTATCTGTATCACAGAAGTTACTGTTGCATTTGAGTATCTTAGCAGAAACAAGAAGGATTGACTGCTGCTTATTTCTCAGCCAGCTCTTTTCTCTCAAGGACCTGAATCCCATGTTTGGTAAAGTTGATTTAAAGTTTCCATTGTTTTCAGAGGATATCATGTCAAATTCCAGGATGACTCTTATAACTAAGAACTGAGGCAGTGTTATTTTTTAGTTATTTAGTTTACTTCACAAGCCTTACTGTAAGTGCCTTTCTCTACTTAATGCTTTCAATTCACTTACCTCCTTTTAGATTTGGTCTCTTAGGTACATCACCTGAATGTAAATGGTAATTGACTTTGCAGTTAGGCTTTGTTTGCTTCTATGCATGAATTCTCTCCAGAAACGGTGTTCAGCACTGATCCTTTCTTTCTTTATGTCTACTGGAAATTATCACTCCTAGAAGAGAGTGAAGAGACATAAATGACCCACTTGCTGTTCTATCAAAAGCACAGGTAGATTTAGTTTACACCAGAAACTGTGACTGGAAAGTGAGCCTATTTCTGAGAGCCCTCTGCTTCCTTTGTTTCCTTTCTAGCTTCACTTCAGATTTTTGTTTCATTTTTTAAGCTCCGCATAAATTTTCACCATGGGTTTCCTTCCCTGTTATTGCCAGCCAGCCCACTGATCAGGCACCAGGATTTCAGTCTTGCTAAGTTTGTGTATTGTGTTGCAATCAGAAGTCAAATATGTGATAATGAGTGTAATATGCTTCTGAGTGTTGTGATGTTTAGTGGGTAGACATACATTATGAAGACTTTTCTTGTCTGCAGTTTGTGATGGAGATGAGTCATTCTTTGGGGAAAGGTTATAGTCATGTTGTAAATCTCATTCTAACAGTGAAAAATAAAAAAAAAAAAAAATCCAGCAGTGATAAATAACGACCATCTGGAACCTAAACGATATAATTGTATTATGATTTGTCATCCACATAAGATAAGCTTTTGAGAATGTTTAAGTTGAAGGCATAGACAGAGAGATACCAAATGTGTTAACTGCTTCAAGTACTAAAGTTAAATGAATTTGAACAATATGTTCCATGTGAGGTGGAAAGACTCCTAGAACCAAGACAATGGAATTCCTTGCAGCACAGCTGTATGAGAGTAGGTAGGCATTGGGAGAAGCTGTATAGTAGGTTTTACATTGCTTTAAAAAAAAATAGGGCTCGCTTTAATTATTTGACAGATGAAAATTAATTTACATCAAAAGAAACCTTCAAATGCCTTTTGTGGTTTAACTCCAGTTGATGTATCTCCAAGATTAGCAATGGGTGCAGATGAACTGTGTATGGGTTTGTCTAGCTTTAAGAAATATGTACTGCTGGAAATGAATCTCTCCTATGACTTGAAGAAAAGAAACAGAGATTGCTGAAAAAAGACATGGGAAGAAAACAAGAGAATAAAGACAGCTAAGAAATGGGAAAGCAGTGAAAAAAGCAAAATGCCTTGTGAAATAACTACTCTGAATCAACATCACATAAATTTCTGCTTCTGCCAGCTGCCCACTCACTTTCTCTTTTAATAGAAGGAGTCATCATGGTTCTGAAGCAAGTAGTGTAGGGAGCCGTGCATCTTCTAAGGAAGTGAGTTTCCTGTCTTAGTGGGATTTAGCTTGCAAGACTGACTTAGTAATGGATTTGATCTCTTTAGAGTGTATATAACATATCAAAATGGTGGAAGCAGTGTTTTATTTTTCCAAGGACACTCCTCCAATACAGAAGTGAAGCTTCAGAAATCACTTTATTATTTCCTTTTTGAATGCAACGGTAAAAAAATTTAGTTCTTTAAAAACCCTTTCACCGACATTCATTTAGTCTCACAACGCTTCTGTCAGGGAGGCATTAATATAACATATGTTTTGTAGATATGAATCTGGAACACCAGATAAGACAGTGGGTGATTTGTCCCACGCCTGTCAGCAAGGCCTCGGAGTACAGACATGGTTAGAACCCGGACAAACCTGGCACTGAGTCTTGTGCTCATTGCTCGTAGCCAAGCTGTCTCTCAACTGAGGTATGTCTAGGGACAGGCACACGGGAGTCTTGCCAGGCTTGCAGAGCTGATTTGTTTTCTGAAAAACTACTTAGGTGACTAAAATCAAAGACGTGTTTTACTGACATCTGTTATTTCTCTTCCTTTCTTTTTAGCTGGTCTTGCCAGAGTACTCTATCCACAGTCTTTTCTGCATAATGTTTTTATGTGCTCAGGAGTGGCTCACGCTGGGGTTAAATGTTCCTCTGCTTTTTTATCACTTGTGGAGGTAAGCCCTTCTTTTATATGCTGACTGCTTGTTAGCCTTGCTTGCCAATTCAGCACACATGCAGATTGTATGAACAATGAAGGACAGTGATAGGAGTATGGGTGAATATCTTTTGCCCAGAGGGTTATGCCTATAAGCAGCTGAAACTTACATTTCCAGCAAAAAAGGAAATTTTTTCATGAAAATTTAGTTGAGATATATATATCTATCTATATATCTTTATATGTCTCCCCTATCTCTCTTTATATGTATGTATTTATACTATATTTATATATTATCTCCCCTCTCTCTCTCTCTCTCTCCCATATAAAGGTTGCTTTCAGTTACTAACTTAGGTAAATATTCCAAAGAGTGTCAGGATGCACACACTGCAACTGAATGAAAACATGGAATTTAAATAGGCTGGAATCTGAATGTGGAACTCGGTGAAGCTCTAAATACTTCACAGATGGGGAGTTGTAAGACAGTTGGTATTTGAAAGAGCTTGGACCTATTCATTCAGCCCTAACAAGGAAACCTTTCCATTGGAGTTGTGAAATAAAGACTGGGCAGATTGACAGATTTTTGCATCTCATCTTCTTTGGCAGCTTTATGATTTTTTTTCAGTATAAAATAAGTTGTTTCTTTCTGTACAATAGGGAATTGACGTTCTGCAAGAGAATTCTCTCTTAGAGACTCTTGGAGTAAGGATTGCAGTAGGTGAAGAACTATTGTCTTCACACTGCACATGTGAAGAAGTGAGGAGTATTTCCACTCTGGATCTCTGATATGTGTTTTTATTCACCAAGGGGCTTTCAAATTGATCACGTAAGACCTGCTGCTGTTTTCCAGATAGGCAGTACAGCTGCTGCTGCATCTTCCCCTGCATTCTAGTGGAGGATCGGCCTTCTCTTGCCTCTGACAATGACCAAGAGACATCAGTTTTTGCATTTGTCAGTCTGGAGTCTTCCCTAGTTTTGAATTTTCACAATGTTTGTAAAAGCACAGATGATTTTTGTCTGTCGGGGTCTCTTTGTGTTACAAAGGTACATATGGTAGCAGAAGAATAATTCTGTAAAGAAGTCAAAACCGTCATCTCAAACAGAAACTAAAAAGTAGTAGCTTTTTTACACTTTTTTTTCTGCAAAACCTTGGTAGTAATGCAGAGTCATGTGATAAATTCAGAAGTTAGAGTGCCAGTATAGTTCTCAGAAAGCTAAATGAAGTGAAGCTTCAAATCCTTTTCTCCCTATTGTTTGGCTGCAATAAGAATAACAATGTTTTATGGTGCTGTTTTACTAAGGGTTAACAACCAAAGTGTGACAATAATAGTAATTTTAAAAGTTTCTAGAAACAGATATGTCCGAAAGGAAAATGATCAGACTCTATATAATGATATAAATCTTTGGAGAGAACTTTTGATTCTCTGTTTTTTTCTGTGATTCTCCATATGCTTTGCTATAAGTACTCCATAATTTCTGCTGCTTTAACCACAGACAGGCTTGGGTTCATTGTGTAAAGTTCTGCACAAAACCATGGGAAGACACTGTGTAATATCTTCATCCCAGTAAAGATAATTAAGAAAGGTTTCACCTGTGGTCTCCATAAAAGAATTTGCAGTCTTATTAGAGACTGTAAGTGGATGCAACTAACATTGCAAGGGAGGAAGGCAAAGTTATTTTTAGAACGCCTGCTTTCAAAGTTTGCTGCAGGTCACTTGTTTGGGGGTTTTATATCTATCTATCTATTTGTCTATCTATAAGCAGTCAGCAGTCCTCAGTGTTTAGCATGTCAAAGCAATAGAAATAACATTATTTTATCTGATTCATGCTGATCTTAAAGCAGTTCATTAATTTTGTTGAGGACTACTTTTTTTTTTGTTTGCTTTTGCTTTTTACTGCAAAGTAACTGAGATAAAAGCTCCTTTGCCAGCGATGTTGTTTTGTCATGATTTTCTCAAACATTCAGTCGTTGCTGAGAATAATTAGAAATTTCTCTTAGGTAAGAAGAAAAATATTTTCCAAATAAAATTATTTGGATGATAAATTTTTGAGCAGTGCTACATGTAGAAAACCTTAGTCAGCTGGCTCTTACATTACTCCATACTGTTTTCTCTTTCCTTTTCAGAGTTGGAGGAACTTAGCTACCATCTGGTTGAGACTGTCACCTTTCATCATATCTGAAAAAAGTTGTGTAGCTGCAGTTAAAGCCCAGTAATCCTTCTTGTATGTTATGATCACAAGCCACCATATATTATCACTCACAATATGTGAGTTATTAGTAAGCCAGAACTAACTATATAGGAAGTGGGAATGTTTCAATCTAAAGAATTAATAGAACACAGAAAGTCCACATTCATTAAGTGCCTGGTTCTATAAGAAAGGAGTACTTGGACTGGCATCCTGATTTTAATAATGTCTGGAAATAGAGACTTGGAAAAAAAGAGAAATTCCTCCTGTATCATGGAAGATGGTAGTCTTCTGAGCTGGTGATCAGGAGGGTGAATATCTGCACATATTTAATACAGAATATTATAGAGTCATTCCAGATGTCTTCTGCTCTTTCAGGTATTTTCGTTGCCCAGCAGATAGTTCAGAGCTAGCCTATGATCCACCTGCAGTCATGAATGCAGATACCTTGAGTTACTGCCAAAAAGAGGCCTGGTGTAAGCTGGCTTTCTATCTCCTTTCCTTCTTCTACTATCTCTACTGGTAAGTCTGGTCATTTCACTAAGAAAATAATAGCTGCTTTTCATTTCACTTGTGAAACTGTATTTAGAAATAACTGGAACCAATTGACCAGTTTCCTTAATCTCATAAAACTTGCTTCTGGTGTTGACTCAGGGAAGCACACCCACTTACTGCTGACACCTCAGTACAGAATATTAAGTGTTTATCTAAGGCCTGAGCCAGGCCCCAGGGACAACCCAAGGAAACAACTTTTGCTCCTCTGTATACTGTCTCAGGATGGATGAAATAAGAAATTTTATATTAATGGTATTATGTCAAATAAAATTATAATGTCCCTATGATTCAAGAGAATCATAAGAAAAATACTGCACCTGCTGGTGTAGTGATGCTCAAGATGGTAAATCAATGGGTACGTAGATGCTGGCTGGGAACTTGGGGTGTACCATGCCTGTAGTCATTCCTACAGGCTCCTTTCATGACAGGGTAAGCCTGTGCATGATCCAAACTCAAAATTAAAGTACAATCATGAAGATATGCACCCTAGTTGTATGTTGTCCCTCCTGCTCCTTTCAGCTGTCAGATATCAGTGCACAGTCACAAATGCCCAGTGCAAAAATATGTGAGGATCATATTTAAGGTAAGACCTTGGCAGAATCCCTGTGCTTTTAGTCATCCCCATAATCACACCATAAAAACTACTTGACAACAAACTTTAGGACACTTTAAATGGAGGTGATGTTCTATGATGCCTTTCTTCTAGTCCTTCTTCTATAATGTATTTGCATAGAGTTGCCTCTGCCTGTCTTGCATGTAGTCATCCCTCTGCAAGGCAGGTTTGTTTGCTGGTGGAAGAAAAGTGTTATTTCTCCTGACTATTGGTCTTTTATCTGCTCCCCATATCTTGAGTCATTGCTACAGGTTGTTGTTTCTTGATATGCCTTTTAAATACTATTGAGAACAAAGCTTTCTCTTCACCTATGAGTGTGTATGTGCCTGTGTCTGCATATGAGGGCAAGAAGCTGGTAGGGGCCTAACTCACGTGAAGATGGATATGGCATGACAATTTGAGTAGTAGTTTAGCATCCAGTAGCTTTTTGGGTTTAGGCTGAGCACCTTTACCTGTCCTCTTCAGTAGCTTTTTGGATTTAGGCTGAGCACCTTTGCCTGTCCTCTTCGTGGGGCTGAGAGTGAAAAGCATGGCAGTTATGCTAGAGGAGCTCTGTTGGTAGTGTAAGGAGAGATGGCAAGGAATGGCTGGAGAGAAAAGCATTTTTAACTCCACCTTTTTGGGTTGGGGATCAAAGTCAGCTGTGTACTGTGGTCTAGCATTTCTGCTGGGACTTCAGTGTTGTGCAGCTTCCTGTGAGCCCTGCTTCCTTCACTCTAAAATGTGGCCATAATCCAAAATCCACTGCCTGGTGCTAAATAAAGTGGTATAAATTACATACAGTTTTACAGTGCTTTCCTGGGTATTGGCAGAACTAGATTTGCAGTAAAATGGAGCTGTGGCAATATACTGTGTTTTCTTCACTTCTCAGAGTTGTATTTAATATGTATGGACTCACTCCAGCTGGTGCATTTTATGTTTCATCTACTGCACAGAGTTTTTTTCCAAAAGAATCAAAACAATGCAGTTTCGTGGAAAACCTTGCCTGCCCTGCTGAGAGTTGCTGAAGTTTTAAAGATCAAACGTGCTAAAGCAAAATGGTTTTGTTTCTTCACTGTTCAAATTGAGACATCAGACTGAGCTTTAAAAAGCTCAAACACAGCTTGTGGTGCAGTAGAATGTCGATAATGAATTTGTTATTTCTTGAGTGCCTTTTGATACCCATCTTGAATGCACCATAATTAAGATGCTTTAGAAAGATAGAAAGAATGCAAAGGAAGGCACAGGCCATTACAGTCAGACCTGAGGAACAGACAGCAAAGGGTTGTAAAAATCAAAGTACTCTGTATGCTTCAAAAGGATGCTTTCATGGTGTGTCTTTCTTTTACATTCAGCATGATCTACACTCTGGTGAGCTCTTAACTGAAAGATCATCGTTAAAGACTGAAAACAACAAAGACTGGAAGTGCAAGGACAAGTGAACCAAGTGATGCATGATTAAAAAAGCAACAAGGAAAAATTTGAACCCAAGCAGTTAATAGAGAACATGAAAGAGAGACCCAGCAAGAAGAAGCAGATGAGCATGGGAGAATGGCTGAGTTAATTGTTTTTGTCTCCTGTTTCTCAGTGTACTGCAGTAAATGACTTTCAAAATCCAAGCAAACAAAAAAATGCAACAAGGGCCAAGTTACACAGCTATTCACCTGTCCAGGAATAATGCTGCTTGCTTTAGTGGATTCATTATAAACTATAGTCCCTACTGTCTTCCAGGGAGCAAAGTGTCTTTTCTTAAGGACTCTTCTGGACTGAGGAAGCAGAGGACAAGATAATCTTACATAGAAAGAAGACCTATATAACACATTCTGAAAATGAGCACTGAGTGGACTTCAGATAAGATATATGACTGTCCTGAAGGGATATTCACATGATACTAAGCAAACAGGGATGTCAAATCTCATGGAACTGTTTCAGTGGTTTTGTTTGGGGTTTTTTTCCATCAAAATAACGATGACAAAAGAATTTGCAGTTGCAATATTCTGTTTTCTGATTATATGCTATTCCTGCAGGTGAACACCCAGTATGTTTCTGTACTTCATTTGTGATATGCCAGTAACATACAGTGATATGTATAAATACATTGTTTTTGACCTAAACGTGCCAAGCACTTATCAGAATAGTGTTCCTCTGACTGGAAAAAAAAAATCCAAGGTATAAGCTGCATATATTAAGGAGGGTTGTAACATAGGTATTATATTCATCACAATGCTGGAGAACAAATACTGGACCAGCTAATCATGGCCTGTAATTCTGTTTTGCAGCTTATTCCTGCTGTAAAATTTAAGCCAGAACAAATACACAAAATGTTTTTGTCTTTTATGACATTCGTATTGAAAGTTGTTCATGTTTTTATGATTTAAAAGTTTTTAAATTTTATCATACAAGTCTCCTTTAAATTCACATATATGGGCTGTATGTCTTTATATAATATATATATATATACACAAATACACATCTACATAAATAATCACAATCTATTTACATTTTAGGTTAATCCATCAAGATCAAAGGCGTTGAGTGTCCAGAACTGCTGCTAAATGTATTTCAGCACTGAACCTCATGAACCTGGGCTCATTCCCTCAAAGTCACTGGTGCTCTGGGTAGTAGGCAAGCCTGTAAGTTCAAGACTAACACCAGTGCATGCACAGACAGTGCTTGGATCTTGCATTGTGAATGAGCTAACAGTTGGGTATGTTGCTAACAGAGATGTGGCAGAGAACAGTGCAGAGAGGCCCATCTGTACCCCAGCTTGTTTACAGCTGATCTCGTTAGCACTAGCTCACTGTTGACCCAGCCAAATTTTGTCTGGCTACTGAGAGCCAGTAGACTGTTCCTGTATCCAAACTCTCAGATCTTTTTCATCTGGGTACAGGACTTCAGCAGGAGAGATGGAGTCTCACGTTCAGCACTGCCTCTGTGCTAACATACCCTGTTTCAGAGCATGGTGCAGAAGCCATGGCTCCGTGAGACATCCCATGTCTGGCAGGTTCCGGACTGAGCTGGAGTTATTGTATGCATGCAGTGCCAAGACTCCTTCTGCTTTGATCTGGCTACATTAACAAAATTAAATCCTGTTAGCTTGCAGAGCACAGTGTCTGCATGCAAACTGTCTGCTCCTGGGCCGCACCAACTCTGGAATCACACCTGGACGTTGCTTGGAAGAGTGCTAGCTGGTCTGAGCAAACACTATACCGGATTCATTCTAACAGTATTTAGATGATGAAGTTGTCCCAGGGGCTGACATTCTTTAATTCACAAGTACAGACATAGCCAGTAGGTCTTTCTGGATGTAGTTTAGCTTCATACAAGTATGTTCCCGGTTCTGTAAGCATACAACAAGGCTGACAAATCAGATTACTTGGAAAGCTAATTTGGGCTCTTATAGTTCATAAATTTGGATTGCACACACTACAGCACACTACAGCACACACTGACTAAACTACTCTTGAAATCACACTGACCCTTCCAGCAATACAGATGTGTTTGCTTGGAGTGAGCTTGAGCTAAGAAACTTCACTGGATCATTACGGAGCTAACTCATAAAGCTCTGCTGCTGTGGTATAATTAATGCACAACTCATAAAAAATTGATGATTGTAACTGAAGTTCTTCTCTACAACCTAACTAATGCATCTAGTTCTACAGAAGTATAGGAACTAGATTCACAAGAACAAATTACAGTGAATAACTTCTAGATATCTTGCTACCTCATAAAACTCTCAACTCTGAGCAGGTGACTGAATCTTTCCATGTCTCTTCTAGGATGTATAGGAGAGGGAAAGAAATTAATTCAGGTTTCCTATATTTCAGATACATGCTTTAAAGTCAGTTTCATTAAAAGGCTTGGAATTTTTTTGTGTGTTTGGATGGGTGAAAGATTGATCACATCTTGCCTGAAAACACACAATTTTCAAATCCTGAGATTTAGGCATGAACTGGACTGCTAGCAGGTCAGTTGTTTGCCTACAGGGCTGGATATAGAAGCTCTGTGAGTTTGTGTAACTGGCATTGTCATGTAATTCTTGACTTTGCACAAGAAGCATTTGCATATGTGCATCTTCTGAATGAACCTTCAGGTGACTTCAAGGACATAATGCTTGAATGGACTTGCTAGGTCATTTCAAACAGGTTCTCTATTTCAGGCAACTTCATCAATATGCTTATCAAACTCCACTTGAAAGCAGAACACTTCGTATGATCCTACTATGGCTTTAAGCAAATGTTTCCAGGATCTCACTGCTCTGGTACTAGAAAGTTTTTCTGTATTTCCAGGGTAAATTTATTCTTAGATAATTTATTCCACTTGCTTTGGAGCCAACATTAGCCTAAATACACCTTCTCTCATGCTGCTTAAGACTTCAATATACAGAGAAAGGAGTCCTTTTCAGCCTCCATTCTGTTAAGAGTGAGCTGTCTCACGTCCTTCTGTAGAAAGGCTCTCCATTCCCCATATCTTCTTTAAAGGATTTCTCTGTTGTCTTTCCAGTCAAAATAATCTTACTTAAGAGTGGATGATCACAGCTGTTCAGAGTATTCTGGAGAATATCTTACTTTGACTAATCCTTACTATGAATGGACAATGAAAGCTAACGTTCCCAGTTCTTTCTGATAATCCTTATTAAAAAAAGTAATCACACTGCTCTCAAGAGCATTTTATTTCTCTTCAAGATAAATCTTAGTTTAAAGTCGATGGAAAAATTGTTTAATATTAGGATATTTTCCCTTTCATTGTATTTAGTGAAACTTCTCCTGAGCAGAAATAATTTATGAAACTGGCCAAAGCATTAATTGAAGGAAGTTTCAATGCAAGACAGGTATTGCCAAGTCAAGACCTTCAAAGGTGTCTGCCAGTATCTAGAAGCTGCTAGTGCTCTGGACCTCACAGACAGCAGGGTAAGATATAGCCCTCAGCATGTTCCTTGCTCTGTGTTGTTACCCAGGGGTTGCAGTATCTTGCTGGGAACTCATATATAGTGAACGTTCTTAAGACCAGATTTGTCATTTTCTCTGTTAGACTTGTCAGCCGTGTTATAAGAGAAGCACAAATAGAGGAAAGAAGAATGAAGGATAAAAGAAGCACAAATATAGGAAGGAAGAATGAAGAATAAAAGACAACTGTTGCTCTCTTTGTCCCTCACCATGTATGTGACTGATTACAAGCTAAGTCTGCTTCACCCAGAGGATGGTTGGGCAATAGAACAGGCTCCCCAGGAAAGTGGTCACAGCACCAAGCCTGACAGAGCTCAAGAAGCACTTGGACAACACTCTCAGGCACATGGTGTGATTGTTGGGGCTGTCCTGTGCAGGGCCAGGAGCTGGACTTCGATGATCCTTGTGAGTTCCTTCCAACTCAGGATATTCTATGATTCTACTTTAACCAAAGCAAGGGAAGTAAACTGCATAGTTGTTGCTGAAGAACAGAAAAAAATGAAGTGATCTTTGGTCACAAAGAAGTCTCTTCCCCTTGTCACACTTCTAAGGGAGAAATAATGCATGCTACCCCTTTTTGTCTCCAGTTCCATCTTTTGGTTGGTGAAGGCTACAGATTTTCTCCCCAAGCCTGCTTCCTTCCTGTCTCTTTTCCTGAAAGGGTTAATGTCATTACTTAGGCACAGCAGTCCTCTTCTCTTCTCTTACATGCTCTGGTGATACAGATAGATCCCAGAAAAGACATAAGAAAACACGTCACCTCCCTTTGCTCCTTCAAGCAAGCGTGCAGTGAGCACATGCTTAAGTAAGTATTTATTTTCCTCATTTGTACCATCTGTGAAGTGAGAAAGGTGAACCTAGCTTGTGAAATCTTTCCATATATGTAGTACTCTTTTTTTTTTTTCCCCCGTAACTGTTGAATCTGCTTAAAGGAAAAAGGTAGAACATGAAAAGAAAAAGTGGGAGAGGATAAGACCTGAATGAGCTGCTTACCCAAGGGGTAGCTACACAATGTGCTGGCCTGTAGCTGCCTGTTCCTGGAAGGGACGAAAAGTCAGCCCTGTTGGCAAGGTGTTGCTCTGAGGTTCTGCCTGTCCTATTTTTAGTCAGGTAATTGCAGTGATGCTGAATAAAATTGTTGCTGCTATGACTGTTTCAGTTTCAAATACAGCAAATCAGTGCTGATAGCAGAATGCTTCGCCTACAAATAATTAGCTATACTTAAGCTGTCAGAAATGTTTTTCCATCTGCTTCCTTGAGCCGTACTCTTCCTTTTGCACTAAGCCAATGAAAGTGGAAGAAAAAGTTCTGTAACCTACACCTTCTTACAGAAACTGTTCTGGGGTTGTTATGATCTGGCACTGCTGCTGGGTCATGATTACTCATACATTATTAATAGGGGTACTAGCAATCTGTTGCTTTTCCTTTCTCCATTCCATCTCCACACAGATATTTTTGCTAAAAAAAAAAATGTACAGGGCATGATCCAAAATCCTTGAATGTAATGAGTATTTCCTTTTGTTTCCAATACACTTCATCTATAATGTCCATTACTCTAGAGCTACATGGGAAGCACGGTCACACTGGAAAGTCTCTAGAGTTTTGCTAGTAGAAATCCCATCCTTTAAATCTTGATATCACATCCATTTAACTGAATTATGTTAATGGAAGAGGAACCTCCATTTTTGAGGGATAAGGGTAACATTTCAATGCTCATGCCAAACTGTCACAGAAAGTTATATCAGCTTGGTAAAAATCTGGCTTCATGGAAGTTTATGGAAATCATACCTCTTCTTTTAATGTGAGCCCCACTTACCATTGTACAATTTCTACCAAGAGGTCAGTTGAAATTAAAAAAAAGGAAAAACCCCAGCAAACACAATAAGTTTAGTTAATCAAAAATGGTTTTGGATGTTAGATAAAGCTTGGGGTGCTACAAATAGAACAGGAGATGAAAAAGTCAAAGCGAGAGGTGGTTTTTTATTATTTGGGAAGCAACAAATATTAGACTGCCATCCATGCTGCACTGAATTTTACATTGCTGATCTCAGTCCATATTCCTGCGCTGGTGAGTTTTTTGATCATTTATTGCTCATGAACACATTGTTCTGATTTATTTTTGTTCTGCTCAGTAATGCAGTTGTAAGTGGGAAGGAGGGAAAATTCTCCTCTGAAATACGATATTCCCCTTCTTTTCTCCCAAATAACCTGTGAACATGCTGTAACAAAATTCTGATGATGTGTTTCAAAGGTACACCTCAACTGAAGAACGAAACTGTTTGCTGCAGATGATATTATGATGCAATTTAACAAACCACAGTTTTAGAAATATTTTTAGGTGCTTACACACTTAAAGTAGTTATTTTATTGCCTCTAATTGCTGGCCAACTTCTCATGTAAGAGAAAATATACTTCTGTGGCCTGATTCCATGACTTTCTTTGTA